CATATGGTGACGCAGGCATACTTTATACAGGCAAAAGTCCATAACCTGGCAGATCTCCAGGAAGCCAGCATTTTCGGGCGGACTGCAAGTTCCAGCAGTCCTGCTGAATGGTGTCACAGCATCTTAGCAGGCATGTAAAGAGAGAATCTATCAGGAGCTCCTGGGTGGCAGCTAGCTGTAAAAGGTTACATCTTCATCTGTGAGCCTCTTGCTTCTTCCCATGCGGCTAGACTTGCCTGGGCAGAACCTTCCCCCTTTTTATATGATACAGGGAGGAGGGCACAACCCTGTAAAAAAAAAAAAAAAAAACAGCATTAACCCTTCCATAACCTGGGAATACTAGCTAGCTTACTAACTTGGTACATTCTCCTTGTAGGCAGCTGCTTACATGCATCCCTCTCTACTCAATAGCTATTCAAAGTGCAGAATTTATACAGCCTGTCTACATTTTCATAAAGCAGGGGGTGGGGAGCTGAAGTAACATTCTGCAGAGCTTTGGTAGCTTCGATTCAAGTAGCGGCGGTGGCTTAATGTTGGATCTATTTCAGGGGACATTCTTTTATTTTTATTCTTTTAATGAAGGACTTGTCAAAGACTGTCTCCTGTCTTCACACTACATTTTTTTTTGTAAATGGGGGTAGATGTAACATGTACCCCATACTCATTCACATGGGGGGGTCTGCATCTGGGGGCCCCCTTGCTAAAGGGGGCTTCCAGATTCCGATAAGCCCCCTGCCCACAGACCCCCACAACCACAGGCCAGGGTTGTGGGGAAGAGGCCCTTGTCCCCATCAACATGGGGACAAAGTGCTTTGGGGGGGAACCTGGTTTGTCCAGGGTAAGGATGCAGAACTGCGCCACCTTCCAAAAAAAATGCATGCCATAGAATTGGGTATACCACCTTGTGCTCATTCTTTGCCCCCTTCTTCCAACTGCCCATGGTTGGCATGTAGTGTGCACTGCACATGAATGGCCATATCTTACTTTCCAGTGGCTAGAAGGTAGTTGGACATTCATGGTTTGTGTCAGCTGTGGGCGGACGGGGCGGAGAGCAGGTGTGTTGGAGCATAGCTCGACAGCATTAGCTGTCAGAACAAACATGAAACTGTGCCCCCTGGTTGCTAGCCACTGATCTGGAGCTTGTGTGTAGTGAGGGGGCACCCTGCCCTACCGCTATGCCTTGGGCTGCTGCCCCTCCTGCCCACTCCGTCCTGGCCCTGACTATCAGAATGTGTGTGCAGGAAAAAAAAATTGTTCAAAGTTTTTAAATGATATGCGAGTGAGAACTAGATAATTAATTAGCAATGACCACACCTTGCAAATACTGTTTCGTAAATAACAGTAGTCCCCAACCAGTTGCTCAGGAATCACCTGTAAATCTCTCTATATTTGATCTGGTTCCCAGTGTCTCTTTGACAGCTATTCTGTACCTATTAGAACACTTGCTTGTTTATATAGTTCCCATATTATTATGATTGTTATTATTATACAGGATTTATATAGCACCAACAGTTTGTGAAGCACTTTACAATGTGAGGGCAGACAGCACAATTACAATATAATTTAATACAGTAGGAAACAGAGGGCCCTGATCGTTAGAGATTACAATATAAAAGGGAAGGTCAATTCATACAAAAGTAATATAACTGTGGGGGATGAACTGATGGAGAAAATAAAGTACATAAATTAGGTGGGGGTAGGAAAGGCTTGTCTGAAGAGATGGGTTTTCAGGGATTGTCTAACTGTAGAGACAGTCGGACAGACTGGGGTAGGGAATTCCATAGGATAGAAGAGACTCGGGAGAAGTCCTGGAGGCAAGTATGTGAGGAAGTGACAATGGAGCTAGAGAGCAAGAGGTCTTATTAGGAACAAAGTGAACAATTTGGTTTGTATTCTGAGATTAAGGTAGTTCAGAGTCCAGGATAACAGCTAGCACCTTGGCATGTGGAGACAGGTTAATAGTTGTGCTTTCAATCTTGACAGAGAAGTCAGGGGAAGGAGCATGTGAAGGAGGAAATATTGCCAGGATGGTTTTGGATAGATTGAGTTTGAGGAAGTGGTTTGACATCCATACTGATATGTCCGTTAGTACCTTAGTGATGTGTATGGAGACTGATGGAGTGAGCTGTAGGGTAGAGAGATAGATTTGGGTGTCGACAGTGTAGAAATGGTATTGGAAGCCATGGGACCCAGGGAGGAGGTGTAGATTAAGAATAGGAGAGGTCCAACAACAGAACCTTGGGGGACAACGACAGAGAAAGGAAGAGGAAGGGAGGAAGTGAGATTGCAATTCACACTGAAGGTGTGGTGAGATAGGTAGGAAAAGAACCAGTGAAGTGTACTGTCATGGAGGCCTATGGAGTGGAGTTTTTGAGGAGGAGGGGGTGTCCACTGTGTCAAAGGCAGCAGAGAGGTCTAGGAGTAGGCGTACAGAATATTGTCCATTGGATTTAGCTGTTAGTAGGTTGTTGACTAAGGAGGATCAAGAAGATTATTTGCAGTAAGATAGTCACACAGTCAGTTGTAGACTTGTTGCTCAGGGATGTTTGGAGGAAAAGGGGAGCAAAGGGATGGGGTATAGGTTGTTAAAGTTGGTGGGGTCCAGTGAGGGATTTTTAAGTATGGGGTGACTAGTGCATGTTTTAGAGAGTTTGGAAAGATGCTTGAAGAGAGGGAGAGATCAAAGATGTGAGTTGGAGATTGTAGGATAGAGCCAGAAGGTGATCATAGCATTTTCGAGGGAACAGGGTCCAGGGGGCAAGTGGTAAAGTGGGCATTAGATAAACATTTAGCAACCTTGTCTATAGTAGCGTGGTTGAATCCTGGAAGTAATGAGTGCACCTGTAGACATGGAGTGATAAGTGGGGGAGATGTCTGTACAGTGGAGATCTCATCACAAATTGTATCAATCTTATATTTAAAGTGATTGGAGATCTCCTGGACAGTGATTGAGGTAGTGGTGATGGCAGTGGAGGACGAAGTAGAGAGTTGAAGGTAGAGAAGAGTTGACAGGGACTGGATGAGAAGGTGTTAATGAAAGTGATAAAATCTGCTTGGCAGCGTGGAGGCAGGAGTAGTATTTTTGAGGTGTAGATCTATATTGATTTAAATTTTTCTGAGACCTAGTCTTCTCCACAGGCGCTCAAGAGCACGGTTAAGTTTTTTCAGACTTCTGGTGTTATCTGTTTGCAAGGTTTTAGGGGTCGGGACCTGATTCTGTGTGTAGTGAGGAGCACAATTGTGTCTAGGACGGATGACAGTGAACTATTATAGACAGAGGTGGCTAGGTTAAGGCAGGACAGGCATGATATTTTGTCATAGAGTTGGTCAGTAGCAAAGTAGAGAAGTGCAGAGTTAAGGTGGCGGAGGTTTCTGTGAGTAAATGTTAGGGGGTTGGAGGGACAGCAGTTAGAAGACAGGGAGAGAGCAAAGCTAATAGGGTAGTGATCAGAGAGAGGAAAAGGATTGTTGGTGAGGTTGCATGGCATGAATGGGTAGGAGAAATCAAGGTCAAGGGTGTTGCTGCCACAGTGATTAGAAGCATGTATCCATTGCCTCAGGTCAAAAGAGGAGGTTAGGCTGGGAAATTTAGAAATAGCAGGAGTGTTAGCATTAACAGGGATATTGAAGTCTCCAAGAATGATTGTAGGAATTTCAGAAGAGAAAAAGGAGGGTAGCCATGTAGAGAAGTCTTTAAGGAAGGTTGATACCAGTCCAGGGGGCTTGTAGATCACAGCAATTCCTATAGAAACTGGAAATAATAGATAAATGCAATGTGCCTCCAATGAGGAGAGTGACAGAGAGGGAGGTGGGTGGAGTACCTGAAAGATGCTATGTGGTGATAGAAGTATTCCCACACCCCCTCCCTTCTATTCACTAAGTTTTGGGGAGTGAGTCCAGAGAAGGCCACCATGGAAGAGGAAAGCAGAAGTAGTGTCAGAATCATGGAGCCAGATTTCTGTGATGGCAAGTAGATTGAAGGAGCTGATGATAAAGAGGTTGTGGAGAGAGGTAAGTTTGTTACAGGCAGAGTGGGCATTCCAGAGGGTACAGGAGAAGGGTAGGCTGGTTTTGGGAACAAGAGGAATGGAAACTAAATTGTGTGGATTGCATCTGCTGCCAGAGGGTGTGGGGTGATGGGAGTATTGGGCAGGGTTAAATGATGGAGGCCCAGGGTTTGGGGATATACCTCCAGAGATTAGGAGAAGCAGAAGGGTGAGGGAGGTAATCCAAGGTAATGGGAGTGCAATTTATATGAAGGTACATGCCCCAGTGTCCTGGAGGTTTTATTAGCATATGGGTTTAGAATTAGCAGGAGTTGATGAGTGCAGTAATAGGGAGAGGGCAGAAGTTATGGTGATATATACAGATTGTGGGGTGGAGAAGAGGGGTGAAGGAAGGAGAGTTTAAGGAGAGAGGACATAGCTGTCAGGAGTAATAAAGATTGCATGTTATAGAGAGGAAAGAGAGCTGAATAGGAGGACAAGGTCACCTGCAGCTTGTTTGGTGTTTTTCAAAGTATTTTCCTGTTTACTTTTGCTTTGTGCAATCGCTGAAGTGCAGAGCCTGAAGTGCTCCCGCTTATAGAAATACCTCCACTACTGGAAAGTACCCCAGCAGCAAATGTGCCCCCCCCCCCCCCATATAAATGAATTCAGGAAAAGTTTACCTAATCTATATTATTCATGAAAGTGGACATAAACGCAGACAACCTTATCCTTCAAATATTTTGGAACAATCCAGTTGCAAAAGAAAAAGCACTGAGCACTAGGTCTTTCTACAGAGCACAAGTATCAGTAGATAGTTGATATCTGATGGTCATCACTCTGTAGCAGGGCGGACTGACCATTTGGAAACACCCGGGGACAGTAGGGGGCCCCATGAGATGTCCCTGGTACCTTTTTCATAGGCTTTTTTGAGTTTGGGCAAGGACACAGGGGCCCCTTGATCCCCTATTGCCCAGGGGCCCCATGAATTGTCAGTCCGCCCCTGCTCTGTAGTGCTGCAAGACCATGCTGCACCTGACACCTGTGTCTCATTGGCTACCTATATAGGGAACTCTGAACTCCCACCCAGTACCTTGACAGCAGATTCTGTTTTTATGAGTCTGCCTGATGACACTGCATTTACACTTCCTCTCTTGAATCTATCTTTGGAAATTTTTGTGTACTTCACTTATGTCCCACCTTGACCCCTTTCTTGTTTGGCTATGATTTTGTCTGCTGCCTGCCTAAACCCCTTGACTTTTTGAATATGATTTTGTCTGCTGCCTGCCCACCTATGCTTCTGTCTCTCAGTTTGGTACTGCATCTGGACTGCTCGTCAGAGCCTGACCTAAACATCAGTCTGCTGCCTCTACTTCTGTCTGTTGCTGGTTAAAGTGCATCTCAAACCAAATGTTTTGGACAGAGCGGTGAGGGATAAGAATCCCTATCAGGTTTTATAGCTGTCTGTATGTCTGTTAGGGAGATTACGGCTCTCTCCTTTTCCTGGTAACTATGTGAGGGGAAATCCAAAATTTTACGTTTTCACCAGAACAGGAATAGAGGTACAGTATAATATTCCAACAGGCATACTTGTACTCATCTTTTTAAAGTGTATGCTACCCCAGCATTTCATATTCTTAATATGTGTCTGTTGTACCATGTACTTGTCTTAAAAAATACATGAAATACCTGGTGATTCTGTTAGTCCACCTGCTTTCCTATTTCAAACTGACCAAACTAGGCATAAGAGCCCATCCATCCCAGCGTTTTCTAACTGAGCTGGGAGCAAAGCCTGCCTTTCCCCCAATGGTCAGACTTGTACTGGCACACCCCTGCATAGCTCCTGATCAGTGTCCTGCTGTTTATCTGCCTCCTGCTGATTCTCTGCCTCCTGCTGACACACCCCCTGCACAGCTCTTTACTATAAAGAAAAGTGTACTGATGTTCCTCTGCTTCTTGCTGACATGCCCCCTGCACATCTCTTTACTATGAACAAATGGGTACTGCTGTTTCTCTGTCTCCTGCTGCATAACTCTTCACTATGATGAAAAGTCTACTGCTGTTTCTCTGCCTGTTGCTGACACAACCCCTGCACAGCTCTTCACTATGAAGAAAAGTGTACTGCTCTTTCTCTGCCTCCTGCTGACACAACCCCTGCACAGCTCTCCAATATAAAGAAAAGTGTACTGCTGTTTCTCTGCCTCTTGCTGACACGCCCCCTGCACTCTGCACCCCCAGATCTCTTAGCCCCTTATGCAGCGCATAACAGAGGTCATGTGATCACATTTTACCTTGAATCTCTATTTTAAACTGAATGGGTTGTTTGATAGGGTAAGGGTCCACATATACTGTACATTAAGAGGGAATACCCCTCACTTTCCAGAGATTTACTGTTATGTCTTGTTGCATCTACAGGACAGGAAATAAAGGAAAATCTCCCAAGGGGACTAAGTTGGTGAAACAATGACAGTGGCATTGGCCATTTAAAATTTTATTCTATAATTAAAAAAAAAATAGATTGGTTTCAGGTATACTTTAACTAGATTTAGTAATATATATATATATTTTGGGCATGCTGTTATGAATGTCAGAAAGATGAACATATACACTTTTTAAAATGAAGCAAACAAAAGAAAGTTCAGTTTGTGCAATACAATGCCAATAACATCTCACAAACAGGAGGAGATATTTCCGATTTGCTCAGCTCCTCTGCTGGCTATGTTCCACATATGTGGCAAAAGAGCAATAGAGCTTTGATAACAGCCATGGGAGTCACTCCAGGAAGCACAGCAGATGAAGCCTCATATGAGCTTCCCACTCTCCGGAAGGATGCTGTCACTCTTCTGAAAAGGAGCTAAAAAATTACAAAGCTGCAACCTGACTCAATAAATTAAATATTACTTGGTAAAAAAAAAAGTGTCAAGACACACAAATATATTCTTTATCTGGTCGAAAAAGTACCCTTGTAACTAAAAAAAACACCAACTTTGTAAAAAAATAAAACGTATCAGTACTGGGTGAAGTGATATTTGTCATTGTAAAAGACCCAACCAAAAATAAGTCAGTTACAGAGAGACCGGTTTTTTGGTGGGGTTTTCCTTTAAAGCAGTATTAAAGGCTAAGTTTACTTTTTTTTAAATAAAATCCAGCTCCCCTCTGCAGCAATATATCATTGATATACCTCAACTGCAAAAATATTCAAGCTCTCTTTGATTTGGGAAGCAAGGCCTTACCTTAGCCTTTGGTAAATTTCTTAGAAAGCTTTTTCAACTCCTAAAATGTAGACAGAGGACAGAAGTGCCAGTAGGACTCTGGAAGCAGATTACCAGCTGTTCTCATTAGCACACACATCCTGCATTGACCTCATTAGTACACAACCTTCACCCATCAACTAATTTTTTCACAGCATCCCACATTCATTTGCCTGGATACCCCAGCATCTCTACAGATGGGCTGAAGACGAGTCCCTCTATTATATTGTTTTGGGAAGTCTAAAGAAGATCATACAGAGATTGTTCAATCAGATTGTATAGTGTATGGCTACCTTTATACACCTAAAATTGTAAAATTGTGTAATAATTGTTAATGGCACACCAAACACAGAAACAAGCACACGTTTTGCCACATGAAAAAACAGGTGACAGATGCAGCAAAACATGCAATACAAAATGTGCAACACACATCATACCAAAATGTCCCATGAGCCTTTGCCACGTGTATCGCAGTTCACTGAAATCAATGAGCTGCCCTTTGTGTGTCACTTGTTAAACAAGCCAAAAGACATGCGCTCCCTCTACTCTTGGGGTGAATGGGGCCTGAAAGTGAAATTGGTGCTTTTACACAGAACAAAGAGGCTCCATTCACTACTGTTATTACCTTTTGTACCACCAGCTCCTCCCTCTTAGATTGTAAGCTTCAAAGAGCAGGGCCCTCCTAACCCTCTTGAATTGAGAGGATTAAGAAGATAGTATTGTAATGAAGGAGGTGTGGTTCAGAGTGGTGAACACACCCTATCACACCTTCTTCTGTGATTCAACAAGGAAGTGAAGGCTTCTGGGAAGGGGCCTACAGGAAGTGAATTCTAGCGACCATCAACAGGAAATGATGCAATCGGAAAATCCATTCAAAATCTCACAGAAATTTGAGAAAAAAATTAAACATACTGTGGATAAGTGAGAGAAAAGCACATTGGGATGTCTGGGCTAGAAATGGCAATGAAAAATGCTTCTATTTATTAAGAAAAGTGAAATTTTGTCCAAAAGTGAATTTATCCTTTAAACCCAAAAACAACAATTTATTATATTTCAGCTTACCAATTCTTAGATGTGGTGGCTGTGATAATTGTGAGCACAGATATGGACTCGGACAACCATTTTGCTTAGATCCACCATCTTGTATCATACTCTGCAAATATCATTCTCTCTCCCTCCAGCCCCCTCCGCTTGCAAGGAATGTGGTATGTGTGTGTGCTGAGTTGAGGAGTGCACAGGGCACAGGTGGATAAGCTTCATGGTTGTAAACCCAATTAGCTGGTTCCATGATGTCTGTCAGACTCTTGCCTTGGCCTGGTCGTAAAGCTATAGATTAGTCCGTCACTGGACATGAAAGGTATTCCAGAATGGCAGTAAAACATACATCCCACCTGAAACCACTTTTTCATACAAATTCATAAATCCCGACAAGAACAAGGTACAATAAAACAAAGCATATATTCAGATAGGTCAGTTTAATACAAGTCACCTGATACCTTACACCTCTATGTGGCACCTACATGAGAGTAGAAAGCAATATGTCCTTATCTGGAACGGTAAGATATGTCATATTTGATGTCTGGATATTCAGGATATCATTCTGCATATTAATCTACCAGTGGCTAGGCTGCTACATGTACCTAGTGAAGGTTATTGATCATAGTATAAACGGGGGAGGGATTTGGTCATAGCCTGAGTCCCCGCCTAAACACCCCTCCCCAAATGAGGTGATTGGTTCTTTGCTTTAAGGAGACACCCTGCTGGGTTCCTAGAAAAAAGGCTGTCATGCCTGGAGAGAGTGATGAAGAGATTCTCCCTTTTAACATCAGGAACCAACTTTGGGAGAAAAGGCACCCTTTTGTTCAGGACACTTGGACGCTGCTTAAACTCAGGACTTCTGCAAGTATCCTACCTTCTTAAACTTCTTTCTTTTATCTCTCTGTTGTGTTATTGCTCTCTCTATTTATATATATATATTGGTTACATCTTTTATGTAAATATTTTTATTGCTCCATTTTGACCTTTTTAGTAATAAATCCTATTTTCTGAAAAACGTTGAACTGTTTCTAAACCTCTTTAATGCAAACTAAGAATCCCTGTCTCTGATGAGTGCTACTGTGTGTTTTAAAACCTCTTGATACATCTGCCTGCGGTGACAGTGTGTATACAGACGCTTATTCAAACATCCTAGTGTTACTGCTAAGATTTGTGAGTTTCCTCCTTCTCTGTAAAAAGGTGGTGGTGGCAGTGTGAAGGGTTAATTGCGTAATTAACCTGATCCAGTAACAATCGCTCTCAGGCTGGTGGTACCTAGATTGGGGTCCAGTGAGCTGGAAAATCTTTGTGCAGGGTGCAGCTGAGAGTGGCATTGTTACGCAAGTGGCAGTGTGGTTTTAGATTGGCTAGTCCTTCGGTCACAAGTTGGTGAGAAGGGCGGGGGTCTGACGCGCTGCTCCCGTCACAGTGGCTACATTTCTTTTTCTTTTTTAGACATTTTCTCTTTTATTTTCACCTGGTTATTCAGTCAGTAAGTCAATTTCTCTTTCAACTTCTTTTAACAGACCAAGTTGTCCAGAAAAAATGGTAATTAGAGGGTTGAGACAAACCATTTACCACTGACAGGGGTGCTTACAATGGTCAACTTTTATTTATTTTTGTAAAACCTTTATCCCAAAAGGGAAAAAAAGAAGCAATTGCTGCAATTGCCTAAAAAATGTAAGCTGGACTTTAATCTGTTAGTCAAGTCCATCTAAATCTGCTTGTGCAGCTAACACTACCCTCTCTCTAGACCAGCTTTTCTCAACCAGGGTGCCCAGGCACCCTGGGATGCCTTGGGGTTTCTTCAGGGGTGCCTT